ATTTTGGGTGGAATTTTGGGGATTTTGGGGCTCACAGACCATCTTTGATCCCCTCAGGTTCTTCAGGAGGGGCTGGGTGGATTTTGGGTGGAATTTTGGGGATTTTGGGGCTCACAGGACATTTTTGATCCCCTCAGGTTCTTCAGGAGGGGCTGGGTGACCTTCGACCGCAGCGTGAACATCAAGGAGATCTGCTGGAGCCTGCAGAACATCCGCGTGCGTTTTGGGGCAAAAAACGGCCGGTTTGGGGCCGCGGGGGGCCCTGCAGTTTGGGCTGATTTTGGTGCAGTTTGGGCTGATTTTGGTGCATTTTGGGCTGATTTTGGTGCATTTTGGGCTGATTTTGGTGGATTTTGGGCTGGTTTTGGTGCATTTTGGGCTGATTTTGGTGCATTTTGGGCTGGTTTTGTGCACTTTGGGGTGGTCGGATGGATTCTGGGGTGGGTTTAAGGTGATTTTTGATGGATTTTGGGGTGGTTTTGGGGTGATTTTGGGCCAATTTTGATGGTTTTTGGGCCGATTTTGATGGTTTTTTCCGATTTTGATGGTTTTTGTCCGGTTTTGATGGTTTTTGGGCCGATTTTGATGGTTTTTGGCCGATTTTGATGGTTTTTGGGCCGATTTTGGTGGATTTTGATGGTTTTTGGGCCGATTTTGATGGTTTTTGTCCGATTTTGATGGTTTTTGGGCCGATTTTGATGGTTTTTGGGCCGATTTTGGTGAATTTTGGGCTGTTTTTTTCCTCCCCCAGCTGCGGGAGTGCGAGCTGAGCCCCGGCGTGACCCGGGCTGGGTTTTGGGGTGGGGTTGATGGTTTTTGGGCCAATTTTGATGGTTTTTGGGCCGATTTTGGTGGATTTTGATGGTTTTTGGTGGATTTTGATGGTTTTTGGGCCGATTTTGATGGATTTTGATGGTTTTTGGGCCGATTTTGATGGTTTTTTCCCCCCAAGCTGCGGGAGTGCGAGCTGAGCCCCGGCGTGACCCGGGCTGGGTTTTGGGCTGATTTTGGTGGATTTTGATGGTTTTTGGGCCGATTTTGATGGGTTTTGGGCTGATTTTGATGGTTTTTGGGCCGATTTTGATGGTTTTAGGGTGTTTTTATGGCGATTTTTATGGATTTTGGGCTGATTTTGACCTTTTTTGGGGTGTTTCTTTGCCCCCCCAGCTGCGGGAGTGCGAGCTGAGCCCCGGCGTGAACCGGGCTGGGTTTTGGGGTGGGGTTGATGGTTTTTGTGTCGATTTTGATGGTTTTCTGCCTATTTTGATGGTTTTTGGGCCGATTTTGATGAATTTTGGGCCGATTTTGATGGTTTTTTGGGTCAATTTTGGTGGATTTTGATGGTTTTTGGGCCGATTTTGATGGTTTTTGGGCCGATTTTGGTGGATTTTGATGGTTTTTGTGCCGATTTTGATGGTTTTTGGGCCGATTTTGATGGTTTTTGTGCCAATTATGATGTTTTTCCCCCCCCCCAGCTGCGGGAGTGCGAGCTGAGCCCCGGCGTGACTTGGGCTGGGATTTGGGGCCGATTTTGATGGATTTGGGGCTGGTTTTGATGGTTTTTGGGCCGATTTTGATGGTTTTTGTGCCGATTTTGGTGGATTTTGATGGTTTTTGGGCCGATTTTGGTGGATTTTGATGGTTTTTGTGCCGATTTTGATGGTTTTTGGGCCGATTTTGATGGTTTTTGTGCCGATTTTGATGGATTTTGGGCCGATTTTGGTGGATTTTGATGGTTTTTGGGCCGATTTTGATGGTTTTTGTGCCGATTTTGATGGTTTTTGGGCCGATTTTGATGGGTTTTGTGCCGATTATGATGTTTTTTCCCCCCCCCAGCTGCGGGAGTGCGAGCTGAGCCCCGGCGTGAACCGGGCTGGGTTTTGGGGTGATTTTGGTGGATTTTGATGGTTTTTGTGCCGATTTTGATGGTTTTTGTGCCAATTATGATGTTTTTCCCCTCCCCAGCTGCGGGAGTGCGAGCTGAGCCCTGGCGTGACCCGGGCTGGGTTTTGGGGTGGGGTTGATGGTTTTTGTGCCGATTTTGGTGGATTTTGATGGTTTTTGGGCCGATTTTGGTGGTTTTTGTGCCGATTTTGATGGTTTTTTCCGATTTTGATGAATTTTGGGGTGATTTTGATGGATTTTGTGCCGATTTTGATGGTTTTTCCCCCCTCAGCTGCGGGAGTGCGAGCTGAGCCCCGGCGTGACCCGGGCTGGGTTTTGGGGTGGGGTTGATGGTTTTTGTGCCGATTTTGATGGATTTTGTGCCGATTTTGATGGTTTTTGGGCTGATTTTGACGTTTTTTTGTCTGATTTTGATGGATTTTGTGCCAATTTTGATGTTTTTTCCCTCCCCAGCTGCGGGAGTGCGAGCTGAGCCCCGGCGTGAACCGGGACCTGACGCGGCGCGTGCGGAACGTCTCGGGGCTCACCCAGCACCGCCCGGTCGTGCGGCACGACATCAAGCTGGCCGCGCGCCTGGTGCAGGCGCTGGACGCCCGCGCCCGCCTCTGGAGCCCCCCGGGCGCCGAGGGCGACGCCGACGCCACCGCCGAGCCCCCGCCCACCCAGCCCGGGGTCAGACGGGGGTCCCGGGGGTCCTGGGGGGTCATTGGGGGGTTATTGGGGGGTCCTGGGGGGTCATCAGGGGTCCTGGGGGGTCATTGGGGGTCCTGGGGGGA